AAAAAAAAAAAAAAAAAAAACATTAATTAGTTAAAGTCATATGTATATATATATATATATATACATACATACATTTAATATGTATTATATATATCTAGTACGTTTAAAGCACCGAAAGAACATAAAACCTGCTGATACAATGAGAAGGACAATAAAGACGCCAAAAAATTTATCACTGGCCATTTATAATTATATATATTTTTATGTGTTTATAATGTTTTGATGTTTGTGTGATCAAGAGAAAGAGCTTATATATATATATAAATATATAGCACAAGTCTAGAGTTACGTGATCAGTAAGTGTGGCTATGTGATTGATGATACTAATACTATTTCTATTCAACATTTCTTCTGTATAATAATGATTTATCTTTGATTTTCTTAACGTAGGGATTATTACGTGAATAAGTACTTTGGTTATCTTTGATTTTCTTATTACCCGTTAATACCGCAGAGATTTTGTGAATAGGTTTGGTTTTACATTAAGCGATTTTTGGAGTACCTGATTGATTTTAATCCCTTGAAATTACCGAAATAGTTGCTATAATAATAATAATAATAATAATAATAATAATAATAATAATAATAATAATACTAATAATAATAATAATAATAATAATTTAATAATTTTTAACTAATTAATCTATCATAATCTATTAAATTTGAAAAAAAAAAGAATATTATTTATTACATTTTATGCTATCTATATATATATAGTGATACATATATAAGTAAAACAATTTTAATTATATTCATTTCTACTAATTAATGATCATATTTATAAATCTGATATACGCTTTATCTAACTTATAATTTTAAATATAATATTTATACATGTGCCATTAACATTTTATTTGCATTTGTGTATGTGCACAAAATTATGGTGTTTTTATTTTTATTTTTTTTATTTAGGGACTCTTTTAATGCGTTCGGATATAAGATTTTTTCAAAATAATTTGTCTTGTTAAAATTCGAGTATAACCGAGGGAGCGTGTTTGCGTAAATGACGTTTTAAATTTAGCAATTTACTAATCATAGTCAAAATAGTACAAAAATATATCCAAAAAAAGGCAGAATATAAAGGAAGTCGTGAATATGGTACAGTAAAATATATAGGCGCAAGTCGCTCTTGCTGGAAAGTTATAGATTACATTTTAAATTGGATTGTAAATTGACATTTTGTACAAAAGAAAAATATTGAAGATTATAATTTTGGTCATTTTCTAAAACTTTAGAAAATTGACCTATGTAAATTATCATTCTGTAGAAAAATAATATCGAATTTTGAGTTAGGATAATTATAGCATAGTTTTATAAGTCATCGCAAAAGGATTGGACTTTTGTAAATAAAAAAAAAATAATAATAATTTGAATAGTATATGAAAAAGCAGCAAAATTGGGAATCTAAAAATCACACTCGCCACTTTTAATGTTAGATAGATTCAAAAGCTTACTTTAGAAAATGGTAAAAAGACTACTTCTTTTATGGCACCTACAACTGAAAAATAAGGATGTACAAAAGAAGTTAATTATTAATCTATAATAATAAATCATGAATTCTTATCTAAATGAAGATTTAACTTTTTAGAAGTAGACTAATCATATTCTTTGAATAAAAATCAATATTTACTATCGAATTTCATACTTTTATTTATGTCATTTTTCAAAATATGACATTCTTCAATGTAAAACCAATTAATATTAAATTCATTTTCATTTTCTTTTACCTTTGTACAAATATGAATTCACCTTTGTTTAAAAAAAAAAAAAAATTGTCACGTTTTGTTTATTTATTTATTTATCTTATCATTTTCAATATTAGAAAATACGCAGAGCTAAACAATTCAGACCACGTCCCTTGGTAAATGATACAAATTTCTATCTTTTCAGCTTCAAGGCCTAAATACCACCCCCAAAAACAAATTAAAAAACAAAAATCACACATGGCGTTGCCAGAATTTTTTTTTTCACTGCAAGACCTGCAACTATTATTCAAATCGAATTGTTCACTAACATAGTTCGATTCAAAAGTCGAACTCGACTCACTTGTATTTTTAAACGAGCTATAGACAAACAACTAATCGATTTTTTCTATCAAACAAGTTGAATTGAACGTGTACACAGTCGACTCAATTAGAATTTTGAGTTTTTGTCCATGTTCAAAAGTTAATTAAATGAGTTGAACCGAGTTTAAACGATCCAAACTCGAGCTCATATTTTGTTTGTTTAATAAAAGAGTTGAGTCATGACAACTCGTTTATTAAATTTGTACGAGTTAAACATGAAATACTTGATTCGAATAATCTAGATAGACGCACATATAAAAAAAATAAAAGTATAAAATAATTTTAGAGTATTAATATAGACTAGTATGTACCCCGTGCGATGCACGGGACAAAAATATTAAATGAGTTATTTCACAGCCTTTTCCGTTTAAGTCTAAAAAGTGATAATGTTATTATCTATTTTCTACCTCTTTTAATTAACGTTAAGTCTAAAAAATTATTAAGCCGCCCTCTGGCAAATATGTATAGAGTTATGTGTTCATGTCTCATAAGTCACAAACATTATGAATAACATTACAAATTATTCATTCAAACTTTTATTCATTGCAAATATATTAAAATAGTTTATATAACAACCATAAAATACCACTTTCAATATATTTATAAATAAAAAGTACATAAAATTTCTGGTGTGTTCAAATTTAAATATTTTTTTATGGGCTCAATTTTAAATCATCTAGACATTTAAACACATAGGTGTGTTCAAATTTAAATCATTGACATTTTGGTCGGTTGAAATTTAAATCATCTACCATGGTACTGTGATGTGTATTATATATATATATACACAATTTTTTAACAAATAATATGTGCTTTATAAAAATAATAATAATAATAATTTCACAATATTTTAAACGTAAAATTTGGTTTTTAATCGCAATAGAAAAATCATGGTAAGTTGTATTGAAAAGGTGTTATGAGATAAAACAATTAACTAAAATAATTAAATAAAATACTTGATGAAAATAGAATGCATTAATTACCTTTGACTTTTCTTACTACTAATTCTAGTAAATAGAATGCCTTTTTATATAAGTATAGATTACATGAATCATGCATTAAATAATATTAAAATGTGAATGTTGTATATGTCGAATAAAGATCATGTATTATACTTTGTAGGCTTGTTTCATGTGGAGATGGACCTCCTAAAAAAACTTGTGAATTAGTAACTATGCTTTTGTACATATATGACAAATGAATTGATTATTCATTATCCCAGTCCACTACAAAAAAAAAAAAAAAAAAAAACTTTTACATCCCAACGGAAATTTTCCGTTGGAATTCTTTATATTTTCCGTTGGAATATCTATTCCAACGGATATTGTTACGTATAAAAATTCATGGGAAAAACGGCCGTTGGAATAGCTAAAATCCAACGGAAAATCCTATGGAAATAAATTCCTACAACTATTCCAACGGAAAAAATCCGTTAGAATTTCTCAACCATCTAACACTTAATCCAACATAAAATTAAGTTTGTTGGAATATTCATTGGAATTTCCAACAGAAATTTTTGCCGCTGCAATTGAATTGTTTTCTTGTAGTGGTCTAATGCGATTGATATAAGATTTTTTTCAAAATAATTCGTCTCATTTAGACATGGCCAGGGTCGGCCCGAAACCGGTCCATATGCACGGGTCGTTGAACAAGACCCAGCTCCGGGTCTTAATTTTATTTTTTATTTTTTTTCCCGTCGATTTCGTGCTTTCAGATGGGCCAAATGTTCATTTTTTTTTTTGTGAACAGGCCGATCCCGAATCACCGGGCCTGTGAGATGACCGGTA